GTCAGCCAGGAGGGAAGCCCCCAACACACACCAGCTCTTAGTAATCACCTCTACATCCAGGAAATCCTGCGGCCGAAGTGGGTGTATGAATGATTCCAACCAAGAACCATTAGCGTACCAATAGAGAGTTCACATGCCCTCAACTCCTGTTTCGGAGGAGTTTGAGACAGGATCTTGCTTTTTCACACAGGCTGGAGAGCAGTGGCATGATCATAGTTCACAGCAGCCTCAACCTCCTGGGTTCAAACAATCCTCCTGTCTCAGCCTCCTGAGTAGCTGGGACTTCACGAATGTGCCATTATGCCTGGCTAATTTTTAAAATTTTTTGTAGGAAAGGGGTTTCGCCATGTTGCCCAGGCTGGTCTCGAACCCCTGGGCTCAAGCAAGCTGCCCAGCCTCCCAAAGTGCTGGGATTACAGGTGTGAGCCACCGCGGCCGGCCCTCAATTCCCTGTTAGTCATATGGATACCTGGACAGTAAGTGGGACCCTCCTCACTGCCTGTCGGCAGCAAGAACATCCACACAGGTGCTGATGGTGCAACCACAGTCTATTAAGGGCCCTGACTCACCCACTGCTTCTCAACAGGGTCATTTCAAGTCCTCCATGCCACCCCATCACCCAGCAGCCCTGTGACAGCCCTCTCAATCCTTCATCAATGCCTCACCTCCCCAGATGTACCATGGACATCTGAGAATAGGAAGAGTCAACATAGCCCATGATGGGACAGTCAGGAGGGAACTCCTGTTGGGGGTGTGGGCCCAACAAGTTGGCATTCTGCCCAGATCTTCGACCTTGGAGAAGTGGGGGCTATCAGGCTAGAAGAGACCTTCAAAGACATCCAGTCTGTCCCTCTTCTGAATTGTGGTACAGCATAGCCTGCACTCCTGACACCACTGTGGCCTGAGTCACTGTTACCTCTCACCTGGATTATCACACAAGCTCCTTAGTGGTCCTTCTGCTTCCATCCCCACCCGCTACAGTCTACGTCCGGCACAGCAGCTTGGGATCCTGTTACAGACAGAAGTCAGCTGCCAGGTGTAGCTCATGCCTGTAGTCCCAGCTGAGGTGGGTCACTTGACTCTGGGAGTTTGAGACTGTAGGGTGCTGTGATAGCGCCTGTGAATAGCTACTGCACCCCAGCCTGGGCAATGTAGTGAGACCCCATCTCAAAAAAAAATAAAAGGCAAAAAGATGGAAGTCATGTCATGACACTCTTCTGCTTGACACCTCAAATGTGTTCTTATTTCACTGAGTAAAATGGAAAGGTCTTACAACAGCACATAGGCCCTGGAAAACCAGGTCCCTCTGTAAGTTACTCTCTGGTTTCCTCTCCTACCATTCTTGGCTTTGATCACCCCACTCCTGCCTGCTGACCCTGACTCCCAACACTCCTCCAATACACCAGACAGGCTGCTGGTCCAGGGCCTTTGCCTTCGCTGTTTGTTCTGCCTGGAACACTCTCTAGACACCTACATGGCTCACTTGCTCACCTTTAAATTTTTGTTCAAATGCCACCCCCTTTAAATTGCAGCATCTCCCCTCACCTTGCCAGGGCTCTCCGTTCCCCTTACACTGCTCTATTTGGCTTCCCAGAGCATTTCTCAGGATGCGCACACTCTGCAATCTACTTAGCATACTTACTGTGTGGCTCCCCCACGAGGATGTTAGCTCACTGGGCAGGGTGTGGTGCCTGGCTGCCACAGGCGTGGAGCTGACCTCGGCTGCCCTGTGGCTTCTCTCTGGATCCCCACTCTGCACTCTCAAGTATGTGGAGACCTCCTCCTTAGGCCAGCCCTCCCACTGCTCTGCTCTTGGGTGAAGGTCCTACATTTTGCTCCAACCCTCCTCACTGCAAGTGGGCTCTCCTGAAGATGTAACTCCATCTGTTGGCATTCCTTCAGAAGTGAGAGGCCAGACCTGAGCCAGGTGCACATTTTTGGAGGTGGACAAAGGGAAAAGAGAGAAATCAGGAGAGAATCAGCAAGACAAAGATCCACGGAATAAGGACCTGTTGAGTCTCTTTCAGGCAGGCCACCTGACATTGGACAATGCCCCTGAGACGCCCCTATTTTTGCCTCCTCCCACCAAGCAGTTGTCAGCCTGACAGTGCTCAGGATTCCTGTTTTCCAGAGAAATTGAGGGAGTCAACACAGATCCAGGACACATGACAGTAAGCCTGGCAGGCCAGGGGTTGGTGGGCGCGGCGATGAGGCAGGGGATAAGGGGAGCTGAGCGCCAGATTAATGCCTGTGCACCCTGTCCCCTAGCAGTGAGCAGCTATTATTTTCAGCTCTCATCCCACCTCTCAGCAAGGAGGCCTTGCCAGGAGCCTAGGGTTGGGGGAGAACAAGCCCGTACCAGAGACTTTGGATGCTCTGGAGATGGAAGGGTCTAGAAAGCACTAATAGAAACAAAGCCTGCCCAGGCCAGAACTGGTGAATCTGAGATGAGGAAATGCCATCCACGGTCAGTGGGGGACTGAAAAGAGAAGCAGCGTCTGCAGAGCTGAAGGACCACATGGGCTCCCAGGATTACTGGGTAGCTCAGGTGAGCCTCCCAATACGGATTCTCCTCCAATGTGGTGGACGTGACTCAGTGCGGGCATTGACTATGGCATTCACTCTGCATTTTTAGTCCCCATGTCAGCAGGGAACAGCATCTCAGTCAAGCCAAAGTCTGATTAGTTGGAGACACCAGCATGTCCCAGTGCCCCGGGAATATTAAGTAATATTTACAAGGGGATGATGGTGGGGAGATAATTACCAATGGTAAGAGGCAGTCAACAGTGGGGAACTCCTCCACTGCTCAAGTGGTGAGATACTGAATGGGAATGAGGCTCACAGTGGGAGGGTTTGTCATGGGTAGAGTGGAAGCGGTTAGAAACTCGATATCTCTGCTGATTCTGCTAATAGCATGAACCAGCCTTGCAAATAAGAGCTAGACCCCAGGAGGCCTGCATTTGAGAGGGTTTTAAAATCAGGCCAGGTCCTGCCAATAGCTTCACACATAGATGTCTTAGAGCTGGAAGGGAGCTTAGAGATCAGCAACACCACTGGTTCTGTTCTGAAGGCATCTGTCTTCCAAAAATACTGCAAGTATTAAGTAATAATTAATCTGTTTTCACATTTTTTATTCATCAAAGACACACAGAGGACTGCCAGCTGGGACAAGCAGAAGACCTAAAGCTGATGTCACTGCAGCCCCAAACAAAAGAGACCTATTGTTATTATTTTTTGTCAGCCCAGCCATATTATCCTGTATAAATGTACGGTTTCCCTTTTGAAAAAATTTAAAATAACACAAGGGTCAACTTTTAAATACCTGTGGGAGCCTGCAGATTCTATATCAGATACCTAAATCCAAGACTTTTTTTTTTTTTTTTTTGAGATGGAGTCTCACTCTTTCACCAGGCTGGAGCGCAGTGACGTGATCTTGGCTCACTGCAACCTCTGCCTCCCAGGTTCAAGCGATTCTCCTGCCTCAGCCTCCCAAGTAGCTGGGACTACAGATGCGTGCCACCACACCCAGCTTTTTGTATTTTTAGTAGAGATGGGGTTTCACCATGTTGGTCAGGATGGTCTCAATCTCTTGACCTTGTGATCTGCCCACCTCAGCCTGCCAAACTGTTGGGATTACAGGTATGACCCACCGTGCCCGGTCCAAAGCCAACGCTTATTTCATGCAAGGAGCTGAGGCTCAGACAACATAAGCAGCTTGCTCAAGATCACACAACTGACTGGCAGCAGGGCCAAAGCCAGGCCCAGGGAGCAGGGCGGAGGGAAAGGTTGCCCTGGACACATGGGGGCAGCAAGGAAGGAAATCAGAGCTGTGAATGCAGCGGCAGAGTGGGTTGTGGACACCAGAGGCAAGAGCTTGACTGGTTCTCAGTACTCATTGGCTCTGACCCTGGCAGAGTGATTTCAGCTAAGCCCATTTTCCTATCAGCAAAATGGGGATAATTATAGTATTTACTATTGCTGAGGATGTCAGTGAAGTAACAGAACAGAGCCCTTGATAAACAGTAGCTAGTTTTTAACCTGGGTGTGTGTGTGTGTGTGTGTGTGTGTGTGTGTGTGTGTGTGTGTGTGTGTAGGGGGGCATGCATCTGTGTAAACACAGGAATACTGACAAGCTTGGGGAACAAGGTTACATGATACAACTTTTAGGAACTGCCCTGACAATGCCAGTGGGAGAAAAATTCTATCCCAGGGGAGCTCCAGGTACTAATCACAATGCTGTCACTTACAGGGAATGTTACTTAAAACTGAGTGTGCTTCAGAACTCAGGAGCCATCTGGATTTGCTGCCTCAGAATCCCTGCAGGATGGGACCTGGGAATCTGCAGTTTCAGAAATTACTGAGATGGAATTTACATACCATAAAACTGATCATTTTCAAGTGCATACTTTCAGTGGTTTTTAGTAAATTCATAAGTTGTACAACCATCATCACCATATAATTCCAGAATATTTTCATCACCCCAAAAAGAAATTCCACACTCATCAGCAGTCACTCCCATTCCATACTCTCTCATTCTCTGGTAACCACTAATCAACTCCCCCTCTCTATAGATTTGCTATAGTGGATATGCCATGTGAACAGAATCATGTAATAGGTGGTCCTTGTGTCTTTGGCTTAGCATGTTTTCAAGGTTCATCCATGTTGTAGCATGTATCAGGACTTCATTCCTTTTAAGACAGTTTTCAGAAACTCCCCAGGTAGTTTTGAGTGGGCTCTCGGAGAAAAAGAGGAGCACATTCATACAAGGTGAAACCTGGGTTATTACTGAGACCCAGAGCCTCATCCCTTCTTTCTGGTGTGCCTGTCTCTGGGGCCTCAAAGAAACAGGAGGAACACTGGCTGCCTGCCTCTTGCAGAGACTCCAAAAGTAGGGCAGGGTCTCCCAGACACTGGAGGGAGGTGTGTGTCTATGGACAGCAGCCTGGCTGCTCTGGAGATCAGGTGGATTAACTGCAAGAGACACACACACAAGGGGATTCTGTCTCAACTTGAAGACTTTAATGTACATTATGTTCTTGGAAAAACATCTCCAAGGAAACAAGTGGAACCAAAAGTCTTAACCAGCAGGGATTCTCATTCAAAAAACCTGGTGTGAGCCCCCCGCCTTGGAAAAGGATGGCACAGGGACTGTGATCATAGCACAAGTTTTATGTCAGGGCCTGTATGCTTGTCTAGAGAGGAACCCTGCCACACAGCACGATGGGCATGCCCCAAAGACTCCTGAGGAACCAGAAGCTCATTACTCTGGTAACTGACAGCTCCACAGCAGGGCTCGGAAGATTTAGGCTGACCAGGTTTTCTTCAGCATGGAAGGCACACAACTTCATAAGGGCCTTAAGAAGCCTATTCTGGGCAGAAGTCTTCCTGGTTGTTGCTGACTCTCCAGGTCATCAGAAACAGTCATAGTGGCTCCGGTGACGGAGGGGACGTATGGGGGGGTCCCACTTCTGGGTGAGGCCTCGGAATGGAACAGGTGGGAGGTGACAGCACCAGCAAGGCCCCTGAGGCCAGAGCCACACCCACCTTGGGAGATAACCCACTGGGTCTCTGGACAGGAGAATGGGATTTTGATGGAGAAAGCTGAAGCTAACCACCTGCCAGACTGAATCCAGCTGCCTCCCTTAACACTCTCTTCCCAAACAAGGGCTCCTGAGGAGCCGCAGGACCAAGTCCTCTTTGACGTGCTCCCATTCACCAAGGGGCAGGCAGCAATTCAGGCTCCTCTCCCCATCACCTTCCATTTAACTGACTTCTCAGACTCCCTGCACAATCCAAGGTTTCTTGTTTTCTAAGCTCCTATGGAACAAGCAACCAGATATTTCTTGGACTTCTCGTTCAATTCCTTCCATTCAGAGGGAATTTGGTAGGCAGGTCTCTCCCAGGTGCCTCTGTAAGAGCCTGTGTGAAATTCAGTCAGGTTAGCACCAAGGCCTGACTGACAGGGAACCCACACATGTGTCTTCAGGATGGGTACAGCCTCTTTGGCAATGAAGAAACATATGTATCAGTGGAAATGGGAATTCTGGCTCCATCTTTGCAGGACCTGGAAAGATCACAGCCCTGGTAGGTCCCAGGATAGGAAGCAGTAAATGGAGAGGCCAGGACTGCAGCCCTGTCGGGGAAGGGGCCCCTCTCAGCTGAGAGCACTCCCTAAGTTAGCCCGTCTCGATGCCCTCAGGGAGCACCACCACCACCGGGGCACAGTCCTCAGGCTCCGCAGCAAAGTCCCACCGGAACTTCTTGGTCAGGTGAGCTTGGAACTTTTCGGCTTTCTTCCTCAGGGTGGCATCCACGGCAATGCTGCAGGCAGAGGAAAAGAAAACCTACAGAGAACAGAGGATAAGTCACTCCTGAGAAGACAGAGGGGGCTGAGAAAGCTGTGGAAATTTCCTCATGGTGTTCAGCTCTCTGGGGCGGGTAGATCAGCTGCTGCTGGCATAGGCCCAGGACACCTGCTGTGCTCCCCTCAAACCAAGAAAGAAGGTCCAAACCCAGCTGAGATGCTAGGGCAGGACTAGAATGGAAAATTACTATCTGGGCAGAGATGCCCCACTGAGAATAACACTGGGGGCTATCACCCTGGCCCCACCCCCTGGGGGGGGTTCTACTGGACACTTGGGCATAACTCAGAGTAACAGGTAGTAGCTACACCAGCTGGTACTAGGGTCCTAAAAAAGGCTTGAGGGTGCTTATAAGCCCCTGGATCCCATGAAGTCCCAGGCCCCAAGCCAACAAGACTGAATTGCTGCTCTAATCTTCTAAATGGGCCACAGGCTGCCAGTTTGAGGCTTCTATCCCCTTTAAAAGCTGTCTTTGATTTTTTTTTTTATTGTGGTAAAATATACAGATGGACCCTGACTTATGATGATTCAATTTACGACACTTTGACTTTATGATGATGCAAAGTGATACACACTCAGAAGAAGCCATACTTTGAATTGTTTCTTTCAGTACAGTATTAAAGAAATTACATGAGATACTCAACACTTCATTATAAAATAGGCATTGTGTTAAAATGATTTTGCCCAACTGTAGGCCGGTGTTAGTGTTCTGAGCACGTTTGAGGTGGGCTAGGCTGAGCTGCAATGTTAGGAGCGTTAGGTGTAATCAGTGCATTTTTGACTTATGGTATATCTAATTTAAAGTTTTTTAAGACATAATCCCATGGGAAGCTGAGGAGCATCTGTACATAAGATCTACTGTTTCAATCATTTTAAAAATATTTTTATTTTTTAAGTTGTGGCAAAATATACATATTTACTATTTTAAATGTACAGTTGAGTAGCATTAAGTACATTCACACTGTTGTACAACCATCTCCACCATCCATCTCCAGAACAACCTTATCATCCCTAATCAAAACTCTGCAGCCATTAAATAGCAACTCCCTATCCCCTCCTCCCACCAGGCGCTGGCAACCAGCATTCTGCTTTCCATCTCTATTAATATGACTACCCTAGGCACCTCATCTAAGTGAAATCGTACAGCATTTGTCCTTTCGCAAGTAGCTAATGTCACTTAGCATAGTAGTATCCTTCCAGGTTCACTGATGTTGCAGCATGTGTCTGAATTTCCTTTCTTTTGAGGGCTGAATAATATTCTGTTGTATGCAGGCACCACATTTTGTTTGTCTATTCATCTGCCAATGTCCATTTGTGTTGTTTTTACCTTCTGGCTGTTGTGAATAATGCTGCTATGAACATGGGTATATGGGTGTACACACACCTCCTAGTGTGGCTGCTTTCAATTCTTTTGCTTATAAACCCAGAAGCAGAGCTGCTGGATCATAGGGTAACTGTCTGTTTAAATTCTGATGAACTGCCACACCGTCACCCAGGAGCAGACCTGCTGGATCATATGGTAACTCTCCGTTTAAATTCCGACGAACTGCCATACTGTTTTTCACAGGGGCTGTACCATTTTATAGTCCCACCAGCAACACACAAAGGTTCTAATTTCTCCACATCCTGGCCAACACCTGGTATTTTCTGTGTTTAAATAATGGCCATTCTAATAGGTGGGAGGTAGTATCTTACTGCAGTTTTGATGTGCGTTTCCCCAATTATCAGTGGATATTCAGTACGTTTTCATGTGCACATTGGCTGTTTGAATCTTCTTTGGTGAAATGTCCATTCACTTCCTTATCCATTTTTTAAATTGGGTTGCTTCTGCATTGTTGAGTTATAGGAGTTCTTTATATATTCTGGATATTAACCCCTTATTTTGATGCTCTCATAAACAGTTTCATTTAATACAAACATGGGTAGGGAGTAGAATAGTAGTTTTTCCACATCTGAAACCCCATTCCAGATATTCCTGGATCCCAGTCCCTTCCTAAGAGTAACAGCAAACCCATGATTCCTTCTTAAACTATTTTATTTTTTCAAAGAAGTTTCACAGAACATCCAACTGGATCCTCCCAACACCCTGGAAAGATACAACAGAATGCCTATTTTAAGGAAATGGAAGCTGAGAGGAGTTAAATGACTGAATAAAAATTACCCAGAAAGAAAGAAGTGGTTTTTCCCAGACTGCCATCTGCTACCCTACAGGCCCACCCAGAGACACAGGGGTATGAAGGTGGAAGAAACTCTTTGATCCACAGCACCCTCATGCCAAAGCTGGCTTTCAGGCCACCATGGAAAGATGCCGGGCCCCAGGAGACCTGACCTGACAAAGGCAACAGGCATCCTCTGCAGCTGATTCCAGGGGCAATATTCCTCCCACCTGCTTCTCCATCATCTACCTGTTAGTAGGAGTGTGGCTCATTTGCAGTGGTCTTTGGAGTCATTCTGTTGGAGTAGCAGCATTGGTAGCATAGGGAGAAGTGACGGGGGGCTGGGTGGGGAGGCAGTACGGAATCCGGCTTCATTAACTTGGGAATCGACTAACACAGGAGTGGGAAGCACAGCCACAACAAAATGCCAGATCAATAACTAATTAGAGGGGCTGTGTGATCTTGGTGGTGAGGGCCATGGGGAAGCCAGCGGTCGGCCTGTCTGTAGGCAGCTAGTGGAGCCTGCCTGGAGCAAGGCTGAACTCTGGTGAGGGGCCTGGTATGGGCAGCACAGAAGGCTTTTCTCAAACAGTTTTGGCTCTGGAGGCCCTGCATACCCATTAGGCCATGCCCAGCGGTTGTGGGTAGCCTGCTGGGCTGAATAAGCAAAAGTCTCTTCCTGTTTCCCTTCCTTACACAGGAACTGTATGACTCTCCACACAGTCCCTGCTCTCTAGATACCCTGAGCAGCCGCCCAAATCTGTGCCACTGCTTCCACTGTGCCTCTCTGCACACATGCTTTTCCCTCTGCTCTCAACACCCTTCTACCTCCTGCTTTCTCCTCCTTCACCTAACGAACTTCTCGTAAAGACTAAGGCTCAGCTCAGACATCACCTCCTTTAGGATGTCTTCCAGGCCAAGGATGGAGTGGGTGCTCCTCTGCGCTCCCTCCGCCCCAGGGCTACCTTGATCATGGCCTCAGTCTCAGTAAGTCAACAGGCCATTTACTGTTGATCTCACCTACCAAACAAGGAGCAACCCCACAGCAGCGGCTCTTTCACACTGTGCTCTACTCTCAGCATAACGCCTGACACACAAAAAGGACCCATTAGATGTTTCATGAACAGAAGAATGAAGACAACCACAGGTTCAATTTTTGGTTCATTTTTGTATAGTGCCTGGCACCAAATAGCTATTCAGTAATGATGTGGTGGTGCCGGGGAGAATGAGAGGCTCATCATAGGGAGGCAGCTTCTTTACCAGGCCCCTGAACACCGTGGCTCTCAAGCCACCTCCTTGTGACATGAACTGCTCAGACCCTGTTCCCCAGCACTGTGCCTGAGCCTCCATCATGGCATTCCTCATGCTGCGCTAGTATCACAGTGATCTGCACCCTCTAAAAGTAAGCACTGCGTCCTAATTATCAATGTGCCCCACAAAGCATATAGCCCAGGGCCAGGTATAGAGTCACGGCCCAAAGGATGCTCACTGGATGACCTAATGAGACCCAGAGATTGCACTTGGCAATGCCCAGCAGTGACAGGCTGGAACAAGCTGGGCTCACGCTCATCACCCATCCTCCCGAAGCACTTCTCAAACACCGTCTGGGAGTAAAATCCACTAGAAGCAGGCACAATAGATGCCTTCAGTCTAACAAATAAGGTTTCTAATTTAAAAAGTGCTTCATCCTTTTTAAAGAACTCATTAAGTTGGTCTTCACCACAGCCTAGGAGGTACAGGACTTTACTATTCCCATTGTAGAGGTGGAATGCTAGGCATGCTGCAACATGTAGTGACAAAAACTGAGCAAAGTCCTGTCCAAGCAGAGGTATCTCTGCTTCATCCTTCTCCTACCCAGACCTTTCGTCTTGACAGAGGCTTAATCCATCCCTGATATTTATTTTTAGCACTGCCCTGTGGGGAACTAAGGTGCTTCTGGAACTGTCCCCTCTGCAGCCTCCAGGACACAGGGCACAGTCTGGGTTGACTTAAAAAAAAACAAAAACAAAAACAAAAAAAAAAACCCACACCTTATTGTGGTATAACTTATACACAATTAATTTTGTTCATTTTATTTTACTTATTTTTTAGAGATGGGATCTCACTGTCGCCCAGGCTGAAGTGCAGTGGCATGATCATATCTCACTGTACCCTTCAACTCCTGGGCTCAAAGGATTCTCCTGCCTCAGCATCCAAAGTAGTTAGGACTATAGGTATACTCCACCACACCTGGATAATTTTTTTTTTTTTTTTTTTTTTTTTGAGACAGAGTCTTACTCTGTCACCCAGGCTGGGGAGCAGTGATGTGATCACAGCTTACTGCAGCCTCAACCTCTGGGCTCAAGTGATCCACCCACCTTAGTCTCCTGAGTAGTTGAAACTACAGGTGCATGCCACCACACTTGGCTAATTTTTGTATTTTTTGTAGAGACAGGGTTTTATCATGATGCCCAGGCTGGTCTCAAACACCTGGGATCAAGTGATCCACCCACCTTGTCTTCCCAAAGTGCTGGGATTATACAGGCATGAGCCACCACACCTGGTAATATTTTTTAAAATTTTTTGTAGAGACAGGTTCTCGCTATGCTGCCCAGGTTAGTAAATTCTACAATTTTAAATGCTCAGTTCATTTGGACAAATATATATATATACCCATGCAACCACTATATAATATATGTTCATAGTGTTTACTTTTGGTATCCAGTTCTGAGTTTGAAAGTACATATAAATTTGTGTAACCATCACCCCAAACAGGACGCAGAACCATCCCATCACTCCAAACAGCTCCCTTGTGCTGCCCCTAAGCAGTCAAACCCTTCCTCACCC